ATGGACTGGCTTGTGATTGCATGTAGATTTATTTATGCAACACTATGACTCATTATTACAAAATAAGTTTGAAAAAACAACCAAAAGCAAGGAGTAAAAATGGTAATGTAGACTGTCCTATAGAACATCTAAGTTATATATTAAACATATTGATTATATATATTTATAAAACATACACAATTTAATTTACATGAAACTTGTAAAGTTTAGTGAAGTGTAGATTTCTTAGTAAATGTCCATAGCAAATTATTTCAAATGTGCATTTTATCACCTGGGAGTTGCTGCATCAGCAACAACTCCTCAAGGGAGGGAGTGAGGAGGATGGAACTGGACTATTTTCAGTGAAGGCCACCGACAGAACTCAAAGAAACAATCATAAACTGAAGCACCAAAAATTCCACAGAAACTTCAGGAAAAAATTATTGACAGTGAGGGTGACAGCACTGGAATGGATTGCCAAGAGAGGCTGTGGAGTCTTCTTTTCTGGAGATCTTCAAAACCTGCCTGGATGCAACCCTGTGTCGCATGCTCTAGGTGAGCCCGTGTGTGCAGGGGGGTTGGACTAAAGGTCCCTTCCAAGCTGAAGAATTTTATGATTCTTAAATGTAAATTTCTACTATGAAAATTAGTATTCCAGATGCCATGTTTCAGATAACCATATGGGTATAGGCACTGTCATTCAACTCAATGCTTGCAATGCAATAAAAATTACTGGACTAACATGACAAACAGTTCCTATTTTGGCTTACTTGAAGTAAGTATGTTTTGGGTTTTTTTTTTTAATACTAATGAAGGAACTAGATACTATTCTCATTGTACAGACTTATAACAATTAATTGGCAAGTGCTTTATCATGTTTAAATTGTTATTTTGCTGTGAACAAAACTTACATGTAATACTTGGTGTAGGAAAGACCTTATGCTTAAGGCTTTCTAGGAGTTTGCAAAACACAAGGAAACAAATCAATAACAAGAAAAAACACAAAAGGGGGGAGGAGGAGGAGGCTGGAAGAAGCTTTAAGCAGCTGAATGTCCCCAGGCTCCAGAGTGCCTGGGGACACTAGCACAAACGGCAGCACAGAAGAGCCCAGCAGGCCGGGCGGCAGAGCGTACCTGGGGGCTCCATACCGTCACGTCGTTGTCGTACTGGTTGCGGAACTGGGGAGCAAATGCAGCCCGTTAGTGGCGATGGTGCCGACCCCCGCCTCTCCCCTCCCCTCCCCGCGCAGCCCAGCCCGGCCGCGGTGGCGCTCGGGGCCTCCGGGCCGCGTGTGCCGGGAAGTGCTTACTCACGGCCGCCCCCGCCGCGCGCCCCGACCCGCTCCGCTCCACGCCGCGGCTGCCGACGGGTGCCGCGCGGGAGAGGAGGGAAGCGGCGGCGGCGGGCCCCCCTGCGGCGCCCCTCACCCACCATCTTCCCTCGCCGACCCCGCCGTGAGCTCCCGCCGCCGCGCTGCAGCACTCCGGCAGCGACGCGTCGTGGCTGCGCGCGCTCAGGCGTCACTAGCCGCTCCTCGAATGGTCGAACGAGACGCATGCGCAGTGCCTCAGCACAGCTCAGCAGCGTTCACGTGACCTGGAGCAGGACGTATAGACGTGATGTATAGAAGTGGGCTGGGGGATTGCCGAGTTTGCCTGGACTTCCCTTAAATACTCCGGTGGGCTCTGCCATAACGCATTGTGTAATGACTTCCTACTGCAAGAAGTGACTCCCTCCCCCCGTCTCCCCCTTCCATTGGCAGAACAACAGAGAATATGGAACAGGGCTCCCTCCCTCCCCAGTTTTGACAGCAAGCTGAGCTATGCTGAGCAGCATTCCCTGCTGTTGGGCTTATGTGCTGTGCATTGGTTTTAGGAACTAACATATTGTTCATTGATGCACTTGAAACCAGAATACAACATTTAAATAAAAAAATGAGAGAAAACAAGGAATGAACAAGGGCAAATCAAAAAGCCCCCATATAACAAGGGCATCAAAGAAGAAAGGAAGCATCATTTGCCCAATTGTGACAAGTGATTATTAACGTTAACAATAAGCTCATACTTTATTTAGCAGGCATTAGTTTCTAAGTTACCCAGTTACCTAGAGAATTTGAACAAAAGCCCTAAATTAGAATGTCAGTAAAACTTAAGTGATGCATAAGCTTTGTGTGCAGCTCTGCACTTGAGGCAATTTCACCCTTGATATATTTATTAAATTCAATTCAAAGCCTTTAAATATTTTACCTTGAAAAATGTCAGCTACAAAAGAAAATCCCAAGTCTATTCCTTATTTTTGAAGTCCATAACTTTTGTGGAGTGGCATCATTGTCATTTTCAGGGTAGCCCCTTCAGGGGAACTAACCTTTTTTGACCATCAAAGCCGGCTGGGAAAGATCAGGCAATGCTGAAAGTGTGCTAAAAGAATCCATGTGCAGCCCAGCATTTCCTGTCCAATCCTGGAACAAAAAAAAAAAGGGAGGCACAAAGTTCACACGTTTGACCTGTTGTGACATATGTTGGTCAAAAATAGTTTTGTTTTTGTTTAAATAAAACCATCAGAAATCTATTTAAAGATAATTTCATATAGATATGTTTATTGGTCATGAAATATATTCATTCTAAGTGAGGAAGGGTTTTGGTATAAGAAGCACTAATTGCTCTTTGATTATTGAAAGAAAATATATTTGAGCTATAATTTGCTTACTATCATAGAAGATATGATCAAGCTTTAAATCATGAGTAGATACCTGCAGGACTATTATCACTTTTGGGAGTATTATGCAAAGGTTGGAAATCAGAGTTAGTGTGGTATGGAGATAAAGTCTTTGTAATACATGAGACCATTACTGCATCATATTTCCTTTTGACACAGACATTATTCCCATATTAAAGTAACAGCTAGAAAAAATATTACTCATTTATACATTTGTATTCCATAAATATTTTACAATGAGTTCTTACAAAATGAGATCACACACTAAAAGGTTCACAATGGGATTTTCTCCTTTCTATTATTGCTGAAATTCCTGTCTGAAAAATAGAAATTCTACATATATAAATTTGCTAGATTCTATTAAGTACTTTTTCTAAAAAAAAAAAAGAATCCTAGGCAGCACTTAGTTCTGCAGCACTTCCCTTTACAAGCATTATCAAGTGCTATAGGAATGTTAAAATTGTAAAGATCGCTTACTATTTAGACAATAATTCAGGTATTTGTGGCCCACATTTTAAAATGTGATTCAGCCTTTTCTTAGCATGTATTCAGTTTTTGATTAGGAAGAACACTAATACAAAAAAATAATATGTAGAAAGCTCTCATCTTAAAATAAATAGACATACACCTTCAGTCATCACAGTCATCAGCTATTTTTTCCAGGGCAGTGAGCAGCTATATGTGTCCACACAGTCACTTCACTACTGGAATCTAGCTTATTTGGTGTAAAACACTTGGAAATTGAGTGACTTTTAGAAATGAGTTATCAAGGCACCCTCCTTTAAAGCTGTTAGTGTTACCCACTTTCAATTGCTGCTTGTAAAAGCTGTTTCAACTTCACAGCTTTGTTGATCTCTTCTATGGAAAACAAACAAAAAAGAGGAACAAGGATAGGGTTGTTCCTTCATGTAAGACCCTCTTCTCCCCTATGACTTAATGTGTAGCCAGTTCCTCTGCTTTTTGTCATCCTGAGTTGAGAGATGCAGTTTTAGCACAGGAAACAAAAATGTATTCGTGAGGGTCTGGGGAAGCAATATTGCACCAGAACAAGAAGGGAGCTTAGAATTACCTCACTGTTGTTAAATGGCTGTTAATAGAAATTATAGCTGGTAACTGGCATACTTTCTGCAGTTGTTCCACATAAACCAGAGAGTAGAGTTGATTCAAGGAGGAATTAAAGATGCTGCATTGTTCTTGGTAGGGTTTCTATATGGTATTCATGTAAATGCATATCTAACTATTACAGTAAGCTAACTATTACTATCACCAACCTGCTATTACAGGTTGATTGTGCCAACAATGTGTATGTGAATGTGCTGCAGGAAAACCACAGCTCACACTCACCTTTCTCTGCAGTTGAGTGTTGCCAGTTCTTTGAACCAGAAATCATAGATGAATTTTGAACAGAAGTACTAGAAGCTGTTGTGTGTTTGAGGGCTTTCTCTCTCTCTCTCCCCCCCTCCTTGAAACTATTGCTTCCTCCTTCTCCTGACAATCACAAAGCAAAATAAGTCATTGACTTGATTTCTTAAAAAACAAAACATCAACAAAGGAAAGAAAACAACACAACCACCATCAACAAAAAGCAAAAGAAAATATTTAACTTCCCTTCTAATACTATGTGCTCACTGCTACTCTGGCTATGCTGGGCATCTTGAACACTTAGTGAGAGGACATTCATGTTAACAACCTGACTTTAGCTGAGTGAGATTGTAAGCTGTATTTTATTTCTAAGGTGTAAGTGCCAAATAAAGATTGTACTAACCAACATAACTACATTTGCCACTATAATTTTCCCACTAAACTTCAGAGATAAAACCAATACAGATATGGGTTATTTTTCTAACCCTTCACCCTAGTGAGGCAGCAGTAACTACCTTAAAAGCACTATAAAAGAAGCAATAATAGTGCTGGAACCGCAGGTGATTTTAATCCAAGTCACAGCTGCCGCAGAGTGAAAAAGCCGCTCTTCCTCCCGAGGGGGTTTCCTGTTACCACCGGCTCCGCTCCCCTCACCACACTTGGGCAGAGAACAGCACTTTCTATCAAGGCTACCATGTTTTAGGTTCTAAACCCCACAACTTCAGCCACAGCTTCAGAGAGGGTGGAAAGGCGAGAAGCCGCCCGTGGCGAACTCCGCGCTATTTAACGGCCGCCTCGCGCCGCCTAACGGCTTTTTAACGGCCCTCCCATGAGCCGGGCGGCTCCGCCCCGCGGCGGTCACGTGGGGGGCCGGCCCCGCCCCGCCCGGCGGCGCCGCGTATAAGGGAGCCCAGCGGCGGGGGCGGCCGCGCGAGGAGGTGCTCATGGAGCCGGGAGGCGCCGGTGAGCGCGAGCCCCTGCTGCCGCCCTGGAGCCGGCCCGCGGCGCGGCGGCTGTGGCGGCCGGGCGGCGGCAGTGGCGGAGGAGCCCCCGCCGCGGGGGGTCCCGGCGATGGTGAGTGGCGCGGAGGGGACGCCCGGGCGGGCGGCGGCGGCGGTTCCCCCCCGCCCCGCCCCAACGGTCGCCGTGCTGCGGAGCCGGCGCATTTCTCCTTTCCGAGGCGGGCGGGGAGAAACGTTTATGTAAACGTATATGCTTTGAGTTATTTACCTTCTTGTTAAGGAAGAAGCCTGAAGCATTTTTTTAAATGCTCTGTAAAAATAAGTATTTCGCTGTAGTTTTTATGCTTCGTTAGCAGCAGTTGTTTAGGTAACTCGCAGTCGCGGGGAGCAACGCTGTCTGTGCTGTGCCCTGCAAGAGGGGCCGACTTTCGCTTTTCCCCTTTGTAAATCTCTGTTTCACTGATGCCGTTCTTTTCAACGGCTTTATGTTTTACCTCACTGAAGTAACAAGTCTGGGGGAAAAGATAGTATTATCAAAACTGCCAACTTCCCTCTATCGCTGAGCTATCAAAACTTCCTTTGAAGCACTACTAAACAGAAATAGCTTTTTTTCCATCTAACTTATGAGTGACTTTTTTTTCCTTTTTGTGTGTGATAAAAGTGGAGAAAGTGTCATCACAGAATAAAAGCTCCTACTTAAGTTTTGTCTTTTTGTAGAAGTATCCTAGTCTTGTGATAGCTATTTAATTAATAGTGTAGTTTAGCTTAAATTTAAGGGAGTGTTGTCACAAAATATCGGAAGATAAGAGTTTTTTTCACCTTTATCTCTCTTGAAATGGGAGGGTTTGGAATATTGCAAGGAAATAGAGTTACCTTAAAAGCTGGAGACCCTGGTGGCACAGCTTTTGGTGAAGGTGCGTGTGAGGCCCTGATCAGCTTGGGTTGACTCTCCTTACAAAAGGGGGCACCTCCATCTTAGCAGAGGTCTATGAGAGGTGCTCAATAAGCAGGGACTACTCACTACAGAGAGTGTGTGGCTAGTAGGCAGTAGATAAAGCTCTGTGCAGATGTCTATACATGGTGTGTGTGCCAGTGAGTGTAAATGTGGTATGCATGCATATATCTGTATAATCTTGTGTATATGGTATGTATATATGAACATATACATGAAATGAACTGGAGAGAAAAATACCTCCTCCCATCGTCAGAGCTTATATTCACTACAATATCACAGAGCTTAGCTCTGTCATTAAAGCAGCTATGGCTTCTTTACGTATAACGCTCCTCAATTTAGGGGCAGAGAAATTGGTTTGGACTCTCCCAGCCCTTTGTTTGGGCTGCATCTCTCTTCTTGCTTGTGCTTGGACAGTACCCTTTATGATGAGAGTAACAATAAGCAAGCTGTAGGATTTGTCCAGGATACCGCAAATGATTTTTATTTCTTTTTAACTTCATAGCTACTGGAGCTGATAATGACCTCCATATAAAACAAGCTGTAGTATTTATTGAAGATGCCATACAGGTAAATTTAACTTGTTTCCCAGATATCATATTTGCCATGCTGGATATTTGCTCTGTCTTCTCCTTGCTTTTAGATTTCCCTCTGTTTAAGCAGCTTCTGCAAAACATGATCTTGTTTCACAAAGCAAAACTTCATTCCTTTGATATGCAAGTTTCAATGAATTTCTGCCTAGGAATAACATGTTTTTTCACACAGTAATTATGTTGAAAAACACAGTATCTTCTCCTTAAACTTCTTGATAGGGATGCTGATTTGTTTTTGTTTGTTTAAGAGTGACTGGCTTTATTGTTATGGGAAACTAGCTGAACAAGCCCTGTAATTTGCCTCTAAAACCAGCTAGTTGCATAACTTAAGAGCTGGTGCGTTATGAGGTTGGCTTCAGGCAAGGCACTGGAATTTTATTACTTTATTGCCTCTGGAAGCTTTTCTTCATCTTTTTTTTTTGCCTTTATTTGCATATATAGGCACTTTTTGGCATGTTCTAAAATCCTATTACCTTCCTGATATTAGCTGGGGTAGTGGGAATGCTGGAAGACATTTCTTGAGCTCTATTGATGTATTCCAATAACTTTTCTCTGGGAGATTTCCGAGGATCATCAGATGCATTTAAGATGTGCTTGTGTTTCTGGAGTTGATACCTCCTGGAGGAGGCGGAGCAAGAGCGGCACCAGAGCAGATTATGGCAGAAACAGGTCTGTTCTGAAGGACAGGCTCTACCCTAAGGCATCTTTTGTTTGGGCATTTAAGTTGAAATCCAGGCTAGGTCTTGTTTTCAGAATTAAATAGTTTGTGTCTTGCAGCTAGTAAAGACTAAAGATGACCCTTAACTGGAATGAATGCTGGGGAAGAGAACTAAATGGCTGCACCTGTTCAGGTGGTGGAGTAAACAACAGGCCTTGAATAATTAACTGCAGTTGTGTTGCTGTTATTTGTTAAGTGGTGGTAGTAACATTTGTTTCAGGTGGCTGCAGCAATGTTGGATTATCTGAGTAGCTGTTACTGTGTGGTCATTAGGCTAAGAAGGTACAACTATTGACGGATGCTGTGTTGATAACATGTACAGTCATTTCTGTATCTTACTGTGAAACTGGAAGTGTGTCAAGATTTGAACTGTTGAGTAGTTTGGTTTGTGTTAGTAACTTGATCCTCCTCTTTGAGACATAGACCAAATGTAATGCTTGAATTATCTTTTTTGCTTTCTGTTTTCAGTATCGGTCTATAAATCACCGTGTGGACTCAAAATCCCTATGGCTTTATCGATGGTATTACTCAAGAATTTGCCAGTGGTAAGAACTTGATATCTTCTTTTTCCATTTCTAGTTTAGAAGCAAGTTTTAAATAATTTATTCTTCATTCCTGTCAGTGTACCAAGTAATTGTGTTTTTATCTTTAAAAGAACTTGCTCAATGAAATAAATAGATGATTATGTATGCATGTGGTAGAAGCAGAAAGTAACAAGACATGCAAAGCTGTGGTCATGCCAAAGACTCTTTGGAGTGCTGTGGAATGGTTGATGCTTGGCATGAGTAGTGGGTTTACAGATGCATATGTTCACATTTATCAAGGTTATTTTTCTAGCTATGTTGTATAGCAGTAAGATGGTATGCCAGTGTGAGCTTCAGAAGGAGTGCTGCCTCATATTTGATTGTCAGTATCTTAACAGATGAAGACCACAGAATCTGAAGTGTTGTGTTTTGGCGTCAGCCATTTGTGTGATGGCTTGTGGTGTAAGCCATTTATGAAAAATGGTATACTAACCAATTTGTTGTACTCTAAATGTTTTTTCCTGTTAATCCTCTGACTGATATGTCTATATGTGTATTTTTACCTGTATCCAAACAGGATTTTGGGTTTAACCATTACTGTGATACTGGCTTTGGCTTTTGTTGAAACGCCTTCTTCACTTACTGTCACCTCAGATGTACGATATCGCCTCCCTCCATGGGATCCCCCGTGTGGCTTAACAGAAAGTATTGAGCTGCTTTGCTTCCTTGTGTTTGTTTTTGATGTATCGGTGAAGGTGAGTGTCACTTCGGTCTGATGCTGAAATATTAAGTTTGCTGAGCAACTGAATACAGATAGTGTATTTTTTTCTCTTGTTTATGCATTGGGAAAAATGTCTTAGAAGTATTATGCATGTTTTATTGCCTTTTGAGCAGTGATGTAACTATAAATATTTGAAAAAGTTTCAGTTCTGACTGTTGGAATTTATTATTAAAACATTTTTTTTCCCAGAGTTATTTAATTGGATGGGAAGAATTTTGCAAGACTAAATGGCTGATGGCTTATATCCTGATATTAATTGTTTCACTTACTGATTGGATTGTATCGCTGAGCTTTTTCTGCACAGAGGTAAGACCTGTCTGCCACTTGGTATAGAAGGAATCAGCAGGGTAGCTATGGAGAGAGGCAGAGGAGGAGAAGCTGCAAGGGCTTATTGAGTTACTACTTGTGTGATATGGTGGTAAATTAAACCACCATATGAGAGGATGAAATGGTTCATTTTCAGGCTCTGGATGGAGAATATTTAAAAATTTAGCTGTAAAAATAAATGAAGACTTGTTATAACTGGCCTGTTAGCATTTAAAACTACAAAGAATCTAGTTGCATAGCAGAAACTTTCTCATACAGTTTGAGAGAATTGTTTTCAACTTGATTCAACTGCAGAGTCTAAAATGTGCAAATGTAATGAAAATGATATCCCAGTAAAAGGCAATTGCACAATATAACAACTGTTTTCTGAGAAAGAGCTGTCATATTCAAAACAATTGTAAGTTTTAAAGTCATTGTCAATGGTCTACCAATATATATATCAAACCTTCATGCAGCTTGTCTGGATTACCAGCTGCATCCAACCTGATCATGGTTATTTTGATGTCTAATGTTTAGTTTTCCATGCTTTAGTGATCACTGTTGACCAGGATGTGATTCAAAAAAAAAAAACAAAACAAAAAAACTTAAAATCTTGAAAAAAAAATGTTGCTTAAGTTCATAAGCACCTAATTTGTTTTGATTGTATGCATGTGTCATTTCAAATAAGTGCAATCTGTCTGAAGTTGTTGATTAATTAGGCTGAACATTGTGTTTACAGAGTGGGGCATGTGTTTTGGAAAGAGGTCACGAAGAAAACATAGCATGATAATGGGCAAATAACTGAGCAGGACCTTCCACTACGAAGTGTGGCAGAAGGGGTATTTTATGTATTAATAAGGAAATAGTGAGGAAGAAAGTGATTTCTGATGTTGTTAATGGACTTAGGAAGATAATTAGTAAAATGCCGTATTTTAAAATACTTGAATATGCATGAGTCACAAATGACTAGAAGACTAGAGAAAGTATCTTGAATGCAAGAAAAGAACAAATTAATTGCTTTACTTTGTGCTAAAGAAAGCTGAGATGATCGCTTTTTTGATTCTTGTCAGAAGGAGAAAATACTGCGTAGTAAGAAGCCCTTTAGTGAAGAAAGGGAGGCAAAAAGAAGAAGGATGAATGGCCCAAAAAAAGAAAATGGGACAAATATAACTTCAAAATGTAAAAGTAGCTTGCTGGTGATTCACTTAAAATGGACCTTGGCAGAATTTATGAAATGCTCTTGACCTTTTTGTTGTATTAATGCAGCAATGAACTTGAATTCTTTATGAGAAGCCTCTATATTTATAAAATCTCCCTTGTATTTCATGTGGCTTGAACGGGATAGATTTGAACATAGCTTTTGTGTAACATGATTGATTTTGTTCCTATGTTAATTCTTAAATTTGAAACCAACTTGCCTTAATTATTTATGATACTAATCTTACAGAAACAATATCTGATATGTGGTTTTTTTCTTTTTCTGCAGACTGTGAGAATAAGAAGAATTCTTCGTCCTTTCTTTCTCCTTCAGAATTCTTCTATGATGAAGAAAACATTAAAAAGCATCAACAGCACTTTGCCTGAAATGGCAAGGTAGGTAATAGCATAAAATTCCTTTCACAGCAAGTGAAAGGCCTCAGGATGAGTGTGTAATCTGTGTAATTTGATGGTCTAGCTGAGGTAAGTTGGTGAGATCTGATGGTGATGAACTGAGGGTTGTGGGAATTGCTTTTCTAAGTTTGTTCCAGATTTTTCACATGGAATATGTAATATGACTTTGTTTAAATGACAGATACCTTTTTGATGCTAGCTGATGTGTGTGTTTAATTCTGTAGTGTTATGTACAGTGTTTTATAAGGGGGGAAAAAAAATGAAATGTCAACTAGCTAAAGGTCTGCATCATGTTTTCCAGTACAGTCTCTGTGATGTAGATGGGAACTGACTCAGTATGCCTCTTCATGCTCATCTTCTACAAAGTGCTATACTTCAATGTTAAATTCTAAAGAGTTCTAGCAATATGTGTTTAAATCTTGTTGTCATAGTAAGACATTTTGAACTGGGAATCCAGCAGTGGAGGTCATAACCAGAGAGTATGATGCTATCTGAAGGGAACTTCTTATGCATATGGATTATTTAAATGTACAGTTTATAAAACTTTTGTTACTGTCACTTTTGTAACCCAATCCCAGGAGAATCAAAGGTGTATGCAAGCTGAGATATTGTATCTTGATCTAAGACTTAAATATGGCCCTAGCTTTAGAAAAGCAGATGTTTGGTCCCTTCTGTTGGGACCTAGATGATCTTCTCTGTTTAGTTCCTTAAACAGTATAGGGTTTTTGTATATGTTGTCCTTTGTGTCATTAGTAAAAGAGCTGATGTTAACGCATGTGTTTTCTTTCTGATAGTGTTGTTCTGCTACTAGCTGTTCATCTCTCTCTCTTTACCATGTTTGCCATGCTGCTGTTTGCTCGAACAAAGGTAACTAGTTATATTTATGATGTGGTAGATCTGTGTTTGTGTTTGTTTTTTTCTCTTCCCCTTTTCTAACTGCTGCCTGTGTGACTTTCTACTCAGACTGGAGAAATCTATTTTCCCTGAAAAGGTGGTTTTATTTCACCAGACTGACTGAAATCAGTTTTAAGTCTATTTAGAAACTTTTAAAGTGTGCATGTTACCAATGCATAGTGCTGTTTGCAAAGGTGTGCATTAGAAGACCTCTCAGAATAGTGTTATTTGCTAAACCTTTATCTGAGAATGCTTTTTTTCTCATCAGACTGTATTTTGTTTTTAAAGTGAAAAAAACTCTTCCTATCCCATAGCTTTTTTTCCCTCGCTCTTGCTGTGCTACATAATTTTAGAATTGGTCTAGCTCTGGTGTTTAGGGCAAGCGTAGATGACTGGGTGCTACAGTCCTGTCAGCCTCCTTATTTACTCATTTTGGTGGTCCCTTGCATTGTTGCTATTTGGGTTGTTCTTCGTTGTGAAATTTGAAATCTGCTTGTAGCTGAAGCTCGCCTATACAAGGCCGTGGCCATTATTTTACTTCTATTGAAACTTCCCACCCTCTTTTCTGCAAGAATTTTCATGTTGTCATGTTTTTATGTCCCTCATTTTTTCTTCTTATCTATGCTTGTTTCACTTAATTTCTTCTATTTACATGTCCTGTAGTTTCCCAGTACTTGTTTTCTTGACCACGCCGTGCTAGTTTATCACCTCAATTGTCCTGTTCCTTTGTTTTTTCTTTCCCTATTTCTTCTTTTCCTGTTTCCCAAAAAGCCCATTTGAAATTCTGTGGTTAAGATGGTTTTTGTGTTCCAGTGCTTTGGTATGTGTCTCTTCTTGTAATATTTTATGCATCTAACTTGTTTCCTCCCTTTTTTAGGCTTTCTTTAAAAGTATTATGATCACCTAGATTCTGTTGCATGCTTCTCCCAGTAATTTCCTTTATCTCTGTTTTGCACTGCTTATTTTGGTGTAATTTGCGTTCAAGCTGCTATAGTTTTTCTTACGACCAGCAAATCTCTTGCATTCCTGTATTTCAGAATATCTGTAATTATAAGCAGCAATCTTTAGCTTGCTCACAAGTGGTCACAGCACACTGCTCTACAGTGTGTGATCTAAGCTACAGTGTAGTGAGGCGTGGGCTCTCCTTGCACTGATACTTCATGCACATCTTTGCCTACTTCACTGAAAAGAGATCTAAAATTTGCTTGTGCAAATCTCAAGCTTCCTGTAATTCTAAAAACAGCTCTCAGCTCATACACAGGTGATCAGAAATAGGAGAAAATGACTGTTCCTAGTAGTGCAAGTAGCTTTTGTGTAAATAACTAATTAGGAGGGTGTCAATTTTATTTGGAACTCAAAGGGGAAGTGAAAGAGACATAACCTGTGCAGGGAATGTACTAGTTAAGCTGCAGATGCCTGAGAGCATTCACCAAGCTGTGCTCAAACACAGCAGTAACAAAGCTGGTTCTTTTTTTGCTGAGGAATTATCCAGTTGTCAGCAGCTCTGTTTTGTTTCTCTTCTTTGGTATAGACAAGATGGTTTTAAATTCTATTCTCAAATAGTTATGGCTTTGGACAAGTTCTAGAGAGCAGTGCAATTTAGAGTGGTATTAAATTTTCTTCCACATCAGTGTGAAGTGCAGTATGGCTGGAATAAAAAAGCATGCAACTTTATAAGACCAAAGACTGGTCTATGTTAGTCGATGCTCAAAATCTCTTATGGTTTTGATTTTCATCATGGCTGGGGGGTCTTGCTAGCTCCCATACCCCAATAGTTTTGGCAGATGAAGAAATACACATAGAATGGCTTTTGGCCCCAGTACCTTCCTGGATCTGAGGCGTAGCTAGACTTCACTTATTTCTAACCTCCTGTGTCTGAGTGCTTGTTGTCTTGTGATTCGTTCATGATTTAGATCTGTGTTTAAGAAGCATGTTTTTATCTGATTTCTTTGGTAATGCACAGTCTTAGTGATTCTTCAGTGCTGTTTTGGTAAAGATGAACATCTCTTTGACTAGGATGGCCAGCAGGATAAGGAATGGGTAGGGTATTTTCGGAATTTGCCAGATTCACTGACTTCACTGCTGGTGCTGCTAACTACTGCAAATAATCCTGACGGTGAGCCATCTGTTTTGGAAATAACTCCCATCTCTCTTCTATAAATAGTAGACTAAGATATCTCCAGACTATTATAACTGTTTTGTTTTCTTTTTAGCTGATAGCTCTCCTCATTGCTGGAAGAATGTTTTGCAAATATATTGCATGCCTTTAGCTCTTAAGAATTTTGTATTTCCTTTAGTATAACTTGTATATATGGCTCTGAGGTAGAGCTGTGCCAAGTTTTTGCTACTTTGCAAAAAGGGGTAGAGGTTTCCTGCTTTTTTCCCTTAGCATAAAGTTCTTAATTCCCTTTGTTTTTCTCTTATACAGTGATGATTCCTGCATATTCTAAGAATCGAGCCTATTCAATTTTCTTTATACTCTTCACTGTGTTAGGTAAGTTGCCTCTTGTCTGTAGTATTTTAAATGTACTGTAAACTGCACTGAGTTTATACATGTATCAACTAAAGCTTATTTTTGTTTTTCTAGAAACATTTAACTGGTTATTCTGTTTTCTTCTGACTAACCTATAGTGTCATTGAGGTGTTCAAAAACCTTTTATACAGCAGTATATTCAATATTTTTTTGGAAATAAAATTCAAAACAATCAGGTTTCCTGAGTTTGAAGATCTGGTTAACTTAAACATTGAAATATCTTTTTCAGCTCTTCATATGGAGGGGGAAGTTTAGAAGTCTTTATTAATTTCTACATTGACCACAACCATTTTTGGAGAAAGGATTGCTTTGTAGCTTAGCTCATTGTTTGGGGAGTATACTTGATTTGTCAGTTAAGTGGGACTTTTCTGTGCTGATGGTGAAACTTTTCTAATACTGTTTCAAAAGAAAAGTTAGAATCCATGTTTAGTACTTTCCAAAATGTGGAAATGTTGAGTTAAAATAGTGACCTAGAATAAGTTAAATATGATATACCTTTGAGAAACAAAAATATATTGCATTATTTTTTTACTGCTTTTTTTCCAAAAGGCAACTTGTTTCTGATGAACTTACTGACAGCAATAATATATAACCAGTTTAGAGGGTATCTTCTGGTAAGTAAAGTACTCCCAATTTGTGTGCCCTATCTTTTGAACTGCAAAGTTCTGTGCATTGTAAGTTTAAATTATATAATAAGCAGTGTATTCATTCCTATTGTAGATAGTGATTCAAAAGACTAAAGGTTCTTTAGGTTAATATTCATTCTTTAGACTGGTGTCCATTTCTTCTCTATATGCTATTGTATCTTGTTCTTTTTGTATAAGAGAATTCCTTACTCATACCCTCATGCCTATGCTGAGATGTACAGCTTTGCCAATATTAAGACACTTATTAAAAACCCTATGTCAGTAAGGACAAGTGACTTAAGCTTGGTCTGTATGTGGAGAACCTGTTTTACTATTTTAATAGCTATTCTAAATTGTGAAACTTGGTATCTCTGAGGAGCACAGTATGAAAAGACTCCAATAAAAAAGAAATAATGACTGAAAAGTCTTTTCTTTGTTTTGATATTTTACTTTGTGATTACTAGGATGATCACAGTGAATGTATAGAACATGGATTTGAGATTTGTACTTGACTTTACCAGAAGCAGTTGCCTTTTAAACTAGGTTTTCAGAGGAAATCTAGCACAGTGATAGCCTTTTTCTTGTGTGCCTATGCAAGCCCTGATCTTTATGGGATACTTGATGTAATTTGTAATTAGTTTAAAACCACTGAATGGCTGCAAGACTTGAATTCTCTGGAAGTGATTACGCAGCAGAGAAGGAACTGATCTGTTTTGTTGCTTAATCTTTTTGTGCTATGATGTTAAATGAATTGCTGCCTGAGTGATTAATCTTGTCAGAAATCTCTTTCAAGGAAGAGGAAAATGTGCTCACTCTCCATGTGATGTGCTAGTGTCATAGTTTTCATGATTCTGGAAAATGCTTGATGGTGTGTGATTCTTCCCTTTTTTAGAGTGTCAATTGCATGTGTAGTGTAAAGAGTGTAGGTTTTTCTTTTTTCCCCCTCATTTATCTGTAGGGGAGAAGCAAAGGCTGAAGTAAGAGTGCATTGCAAATTGTGCAAATGAAAGGGAAATCTGTGGTGGCTATTGATTTCTTGGTTTTGAAATCATTGCTAAAAGAGTTCTTGTTGCTTTAATGACAAATGTTGTAGGCTTTGTTATATTAATTACTCTAGTTGTTTAGACTTTACAAGTTTACAATGTGAAAAATATGATCTTGATTTCCTTTACAGGAAAGGGTGTAAGCGCTTCTGTTTCCTGGAAGAAATACTATAGCTGAACAATCTGAGTGGTCTTGTCATGAACCTAGACAAAAATACTTTAGGAAGTAGGGACAATGCAAGTCAAATAAAAGATCACCTCAGTTCCAGGTATAAAGTTTGTCCAAGAAGAGAGAAGTTGTGAATTTTCCTTCCAATGTCAAAAAAAGGCAACTGATTGGATGAGGATTAGGAGACTGCAGAGTTGCAGCTAGAGGTTTCCGAAACTGGATTTATCACTAGTGAATAAAAAACATGTACATCAGTTTAGTGAATAAAATACACTGATTATGAGTTTTAACTGGACTGTAGACTAGGTATTAAAATGCTTGTCCTATACAATTCCCTTAGACCTTGGGAGCAGTGAATGTGGGGCAGTGAACAGGGCTTGAGAGAAAGGCAAAGCAGTTCTGGTACAGCTCCAGGTAAAGGGTGAGGTTTGGACAGAAACTTTGAACAATGTTAAATGGGAGAAAGAACCTCCTTGTGAGAGAAGTATTTAAATGTGCAGAGAATGTTTTGCTTTCCTTTTTCTCTTAACTGTTCCTTCCCTTCCTTCATTTTTCTCTCTCGTGAGAGCATACCCCAATCTGACTTCTGGTAAGGTAAATGAGAGGCATATTGAAGATGGTTACCGTAAAGAACTTAAGTACGAAAAACTTGATGCATCTAATTTGTGTGTGTTGTTAGAAATGCAAGTTGTTTAACTCATATCAGTTTCTGGTAGTCAAATTTGATGCCATCGTCGCTAAAATAACCTGTGCAGGCTAAAATTAAAAATAAATCCTGATCCGGATGTTTGCTTGTGCTTGCCTGCTTGCTCCCTTCTGTTTATGCAGAGTTCTTAGGAGTGAGTGCAGCTCTTACTGTTAGGGCCAACTGTGAGTCTGAGGGGTGCTTCAGAGGATCAATTTATCAGCTGATCAGGGGCCCTAATTCTGCAGTGGGGAGAAGGAAAACCCTGTCCCTCCCCAAGGAATGGATATTGCTGATTTCGACTGTTGGTTTAATGGAATTCCTCTAAAATATTCTATCCAGTCGGACCCACTGTATTGGCAACTGTGAACTGTGAAAAACCCAGCCTGGTGGTGGGTTTTTGGGAGAGGGACAAAGGAAAGTAATAATTTGCTCCTCTGAAGATTATTTATAATTATATGGATAAAGCCCATTCTGAGGCTTGCAGTAGGTTTTGTCTGAGGGCTGGGCAAATAATTTAGAAGTCTTTTCATTTCACCTAGTTGGATTTCTTTTAAGCAAGTGTTTTTTTCTTGGTGTTTTTACTATGCAGAAATCTGTTCAGTCCTCCCTCTTCAGGAGGCGTGTAGGAATCCGGGCTGCATTTGAAGTACTCTGTCCCCTGGAAGAGACCCCTGCTAACGCCCAAGAGTAAGTGATGGATGTTACAATAGAAGCTAACCAGGGACAAAATAGTAACTTTTTGACCTTTTAGTTTAATATACTTATGCTTGCTAAGGATGCCTATATGGGGAAATAACAATTTACAGCTGACTTTTTTTTCTCCTTCCCTTTTCCCTTTCTAGATGCCTATAACTTGGTTTTGAATCTATATCTGGAACTTTTATGGGGTCTATTTCCAGTTTATTTCTATTTTGGTCTCCTTTTGGGGTGGAAGGGGGGAAGAAAGGTGGTATTTGCATCTGGAACAGCCATTTTTTTATTGTCAGGACAGATGCTACTGTGTTTCAGGATGTACAAGTCAAATATCTTATTTAAATAGGTTGTGTGTCAGTGTTGGAGACTTATTTCAAGTGCTGCAGAAAGTAGATATGGATCCTCGTTGCAAGCAAGCCATCATAAGTGTAAGACCGGGTATTTCTTAATGCCTATGTTGGTGACTATCAAAGCTTCTGGTGGCAGGTTCCTGATGAAGCAATGCATGCTCAAGATTTATCTGATACTTCTCGGAATAGATTGTGATCTGATACCTATCGGAATAGATTACATCCATATTTTTTTAAGATAATGGGAGGGTGTTGGCACTGTTTGTAAACATATCTAATGCGGGTGTTGATCTGAATTTTCTTTCACGTGAAGTCACTTAAAACATCTTCTTATGACCGACTGTCAGCTGCTCAATTTCAGAAGCTCTTTGAGGAACTGGACAAAGACGCCATTAAACAAGTATGTATCTGACAATTACTTATGAAACGTAATCAGTGGTTTTAGCTTTCTTATTTAATAGAATGATTAGTTACAAGAAAGGAAAAGGAGTTAGCTTTATCATAGTTCTCTCTGTTCACAACACTTTCCAGAAGTATGTTTGTAGGCAATTGTTTTCCAGTGAACTGTGACACATTTGCTGTCCTGTATTAAACAGGCAATGTACTTGTAAATGTGGCTTCTCAATTGCCCGCTTAAAGGTGGACAGGAAATGATCTTCTCAACTCAGAGAAAAAAGACAAAAACCAAAACCCCACACATTTCAAGCTTTTGGAAATGTTGTTTGTGTTGGAATGGAGCTAAACCTTCTGAATCCATTAAGGATGGGTCATGGGAAAGGAAGAAGAGGTTTGTAACACCACTGACCTGGTGGTTGATTTACCTGCTTGGGAAATGGGAGAAGTTAAGTTACTTTTGGGTGTAATTTAGTTCTAATTGCCAACATATTTGCTCTTCACAAATGCTGTCTCTTGCTAGTGATAGCCCAAACTAGAAAGTAACTACTCGTATTGTCAGTGTGTAGTCTTGAGTTTTGTTCTGAACAAGTCTGTTTTTCTTTGTGATTTTTTTCTGCATCATTATTAAAGTGCTTATGGTTAATATCTCAGCAAACCTTATATTTTCTTCTTTACAGCATCCTCCTAGCCCAGAGTACCAATCACATTTTATGCAGAAACTGCAGTTTGTCTTTAGCCATTCTTACTTTGGCTGCTTGGGGAATGTGGTAGCCCTTGCAAACATTATTTCTATATGTGTAAGTATATTAAACACTTTCCTCCTCCCTGTGAATTTCACTTCTAGTTTTGTTCTTGAGTCTGAAAACAGCTTTTTGCTGCATATGTCCATGTCTGGCATATTTTAATCATGTGAAGTCTTAAGAGAATATCGATAGTTAAGTAATATATTCTGAGCTACTTAAAGATCTGCACAAATGTAGTAGAAGTATAATAGTGCAAGCATAACAGATGATTATTCTTATTCTTAAAAATGTATTTTTTGCAGTAGTAAGACACTGGATTCATCAAAGATTTCTTGTTTAAGGTGGTTTTGGTGATGGATGCAGATAAACAGCCCTCGGAAAGAGATGACTTCTTCCTGGGGGTAAGGTGCATCCGTATTTCTATCATTACAGCTGTTCCTCTAGGCATTTAATTCTAACCTTATTTTTAACATAAAGGCTATCAACTGCTTCTTCATCCTGTACTATCTGCTGGAAACATTGCTGAAAATCTTGGCAATGGGGTTTAAAAGATACTGGTCTTATCCAAGCAACAGATTTGATGGACTTCTGACTGGAATTCTCCTGGTAAGTTTATGGTAACTTTTGTATTCCTGATTTTGTATCTAAACTGATCATGAATTGCAAGTGCCAGTTAAATTTCCCTTTTTCTTGACAATTTTCAGTGTGCTGAATTAAGCTACTTAAGCCAATGTTCTGATTTCCAGTCTCTTGATCAGTTTAGTAATGGAAGTTGTGAATGGAAGTTATGAACTCCTTTGGAGGTAGACTTTGAAACTGGAGAAACAAGCCATCTCATAGGCAACTTTTTAACATCATTTGGAGAAGTTTAATTTTGAAAGAATCATTGTGTAAGCAAGTTTCTTGTGTAGTTAAAGATCACTCTTTTTGGATAAAAATATGAATTATTACTTGGTAAATTTATTCTTACTGTTTGGTAAAAGCCAGTAGCTTGTACAGTGTGTGAGGACAACATAAGAGTCGTTTGTAGAGCTTTGTACCACAGAGGTGGGTAGGTACTTCAGATTAATTTGGGGAATTTATAGCCAATATTGGCAATGTGAAAGTTTTAAAGTGAGTCAAATTAGTGATTTAAATCTCTTGAGAGTATTTCTTGTGAAAAATTTAAATAGCTTTGGAAACTCAAAATTACAAAACCCTGTTTTAACTTTTTTACCAAACTGAAGATTTTGGAGATTTCAACTTTTGCTGTGTATGGATTTCCTCATCCTGGCTGGTATGTATTCTGCATGAAATTTTACCTCTTTCCTGGGTGCTTGAGATAGGCTAGGGTGATGTCACATACACATATATGAACTGGGTTTGTATATGTGTTTCTCCACACACATTTAGGTCATTAGGTTAAGGTTATTAACATATATTAAGATATGTTAGCTCTTGTGTTACCAAAGAGTTTTGTATTATCTTCTCTCTGTAGTATCTGCCTGCATTGCTGGTGTGTCAATGCATGTGTCAGCTAAAATTCACCCTGAAATTTAAAGTGTATGCATATTGCTTGTAGAACACATGCCTAATGGAAAAGGCTGGCAAGCCAGTTTGTTAGCCTGATGCTTTTTTGGAAGCCTAGCTTCAGTCACACACCTTGAGGGACTAGAGTGAGTGAGAGTGTGTGTGTGTGTCTAGCTAACAAGTTGCTGAAGTATCTTGCTCTAACAGTAATCTTATTTGGCTTTTTCTGAAGGGACTCTTCAGAGCTGCGTTGAGAATGAAGGCTTGTTACTTAGGCACATTAGTAAAAACGTATGTTCTGAAGATCATTATAAGCACGCTTAAGCTAAATGGCTCTTTTCTGTCATCAGGCATAAGTGTTCACTGTAGATGAGGCTCCTGGTGTGTAAATTGATCTGCTTATACCAGTTACAGATGAGATTTCAGGTGTGAAGGAACCTCAGGAATTCTCTAATTTGTGTTCTTGTTCAAGTCAGGGTTAGCTGTGAGATTAGACCAGGTCATTCAAAATTTCATCCTGTTGGATCTCAGAAACCTGCCATGCCTCATTGGGCAACCTCTACCACTGTTAGACTCTCCTTGTTTAAAAATTTTTGCTTGTGACCAGTGTGAGCTTGTCTTGCTTCAAGTTAAGCCCACTGACCTTTGCTTTCCTGCCATGCCCTGCTGAACAGCTTGGCTCCATCTTCTTGGCACCTCTGGGCAGATGTTACAAGGCCCGTGCCAAGCTACTTGCCCTCCAGGCTGAACAAGCCCAGCTTCCTCAGCCTCCCCTTGTATGGCAAGCGTTCTAGCTTCTTACTGTCATCTTGGCCCTCTCTTGACCATGTACCAGTTTATCAATATCCTTCTTATATTATCGGAGTGAGGGCAGAAATGACCATGTTATTCTGGTGAGAGATGGATAGGTTGAGAAATATTTGTTTATGTAAATAAAACTTTTTTTCACAGGGCTTTGAATACCAGAGATGTTAACTGTAAGTTATGGGAAATTTACAGCTACCTGCAGCCCAAGAAATTTTACTTCTGTCTTTCTATCACAGGCCACTTCTCTAACTTGTTATACTTTTCTTTGTCTTTCCTAGGAGACCTGAGTTGATGGGCTTGTTATCCCTGTGGGATATGGTTCGACTTGTGAACATGTTAATTGTGTTCAGATTCCTGCGGATTATTCCAAATATGAAGGTGCTTTTTTCCCTCCGCACTGCTGATTTCTTTACTAGTTGACTAAGAAATCTAGTTAGAGTCTCTTAGAGTAACAAGTTATTCCATGTTATTCTCTCACATGAGTAGAATTTTTACCCAGTTGTCTTGGCCTTAGCTGTCTGTCCAAATTGTAATATGGCTTCTCATTATATTTCCTTTCAGTTCTTTGTTGAGATAGCCTAGGGAAGTTCTACTGATCTCATAGCAACTGATGCTGATACTCTAAAGTGGGTAGAGAAATACATCCAGAAATACTTGTCAAGCTTGTGTTGGGCTCCATTTTTAATCAGATGAGTGTCCTTGAAGACCTAGTACCCAAAACATGGTAGGCTTCCTTCCACTTGATGTTGGCAGACCTTTAGGTCATGCACATGGTTATTTGGAAAGAAGTCCTTTTTTCCCCCTTGCTGTTTAGGTTGCAACTTCAATTTGGTTCCAGAATACCCGTATTGGAATTTGAAATTACTTCTGTTTGTTGTGATCCTACACTTAAAAATGTTTGAAGCCTAAGCCCAGTTTCAGATCAAGTGCAGGACTTGTATCTTAGTTAATAAACTAAGTATCAAACTGATGTAGTTAGATGTCAGTGTCAGTAAAAAGTGTTAACTAGAAATTGCTTGGTCAGTTCTAAATTATATCATAGTATGTATGGAAATGAGTGCAGTACTGTTTGCTAATTTAATGTGCCTTCGGGAAATACCACTGTATGAAAGGTGATAGTGTTTAGATATGCATCACTTTGATAGTTGATGTTTCTTTGTCCTTTTGCTTTTAACTTCATAAGACTTGGAAGTTTTGAATGTTATAAATGCAAAATTCTTTGTTTTATTTAGCTCATGGCTTTAGTTGTGACAACACTGCTGGATCTGGTAAAAAATTTGAGAGCCTTTGCAGGAATTCTAGTGGTAAGTCAAGTTGCAAGATGATCATATACTCCCCCCAACCACTTTTTTTAATAGCATGCTGTGTAATACAGGTGTGTTTTCAACAAAGCAAATTAGGGTCTTTGGATGAGAATCTCTGTGAATGGTACCAATTCACAATAGCCAGTTAGTGCTTGGAGCATATCTTGCAAAGATGCATCCAACCTACTGTTTGGTTATGGGCATCAATAGTGGTTGCAGCATTATGGATTGCAATGCCTAATATTAGGTTTTCCTTGAGGTGTGCCTCTAAAAAATGTTTGAAGCATCTTCTTTCAAAGTACTTGGATCAGGCTGCCGCTCTAGTTTACAAAGAGCCTATTTTCCCTCTTGACTTGCTTATGTTAAAGTGAATAACTAAAACTTTAAAGTTGTTTTCCTGAGAAGGTCTTCAGAGGGCATGTTGGAACATAAGGATTTTTTTTTGAAAGCATCTCAATCCTTTTAGGTGTCTGGAGTGTAGAGCATGTTCTCTGTAAGCATGTGATTAAAAGCTTGATCACAGTGCATGATGTCCATCACTTACTGATTTCCTCCATTAGTAGGATTAATGTTCTCAATTTTCTCAATTTCTTAATTCTTGAGTTTCTGGAGTTGCTGCTTTATCTTTCTAGTGCATGAAGATGTTTTGGTGTGTTGTTTTAATTTATCTTAAATTTAAGTAATGCTTAAAGACCAGGACTTACTGTGGATTAGCAGTTGTCTAAAGTTGTTTCAGTATATTGAAACAACTATTTTCTTCGCATACAATTTACCCAGACTATCAGGTTTTGTCAAAACTAATCTCTTTTAACTGTAGAGGGGGGGCTTTAAGTTGCAACCTGCAGAGGTTGCACCTTCAAATAAAAAGGGTGATTTGGGCAAAGACAAGTTGGTATCAAATTTGTGTTTGTAGTGCCTGCTACAGGTTATTCCCTAATGCTGGGAGTATGAATCCTGCAGTGCTTGTGAGGCAAACCTCTGGCAGAGAGCTTGTGGTTTAAGTGCAAAGCCTTTGCTACTTCCATTACCTTAGTTGGCTTTAACTTGAGGCTAAGGAGATGTTCTTGCTGCGCTTCTACCAAGATGAAGTGTGACTCGACTATTGGCTGATGCAAAATATCTTTCCTAATATTAGCATGGAGCATATGCTGATAAAGTAATGTAAATTTTGGCTCACTCTATGCATAGTGCATGTTTTAAATTTAGTATTGCATGATGAAAATAATAATTTGACGTGTAGTGTTGAGCAGATAGTCCAGCATCTGGTGGATTATGGAAAGGTAGCTTCAGCTGTTCCAGTAGTGTTTGGGGCATTGTGATTTTATAGCACAATGTCTCTTTCATTTCTTTCCTGCTCTTCTTTGGACTGTTTAGTAGTAAAATAAAGAAATATTCAGATATTCTCACTTTTAAATCCATCTTGTTTCAAACAATCCTGCACAAGCAGCTCTTTACTCAGAGAAGTTAGAAAGTTGTAGGCCTGGAGCAATCTTTTTGCTTTTAGGATACAACTTATTAAATGACCTGTTAAAAGGCTATTGCTGATGACTGTGAAAGCTAGCTCTTTAAAAAGTGGTTTGTATCCTTAAAAAGTAGAGGAACAAAATTCTAAAATTTTGTTATTGAAGCTTCTACTCCTAAATTAACTTTTTGCATAAATTAAGGATGTAATATAATACTAGCCTATTCTTGCCCTTCTGTTATTTCTGTGAAAGCTTTTTTCTCTGAGTCTAGCAGAAAGCTTCCCAGATATATGAAGGTATCTTATGGGCAAAGAGCTTTTTTGTTAATAGCTAAACATCAGCATTCTGAGGAACAAAAACAATGATTTCAGAAAGAAAATGATTTAATATATTTTATCAATTTCAAAATAGAGTATTGAGAAGTAAGAGCAAGCATTGTGAAAGTGTGCAGACTTGAAATATTTCTCATTTTTAGCATCTGGAATTGTTTTTAATAATGTTCCTTTACTGGTGGGATTAATATAAATTCCATTCCTGACATTGAATTGCTTTCTTGTTTAGTCATAGAAATATTCAGAACTAATTCTTACATGTTCCTTTTCAGGTGGTTTTCTATGCATTTGCAATAACTGGCATAATGCTGTTTAAAGGTGCTGTTGTTCCTATGGGCAATATCAGGTAATGGTCTAAAGATAAGTATTTTGAAAGATTAGTTTTTAAAAATGCTAATGTAGCTTGGTCTTAATGCTGCAAACTCTTCTCCTTTTCTTTACTCTGTTCTTAGTGTATTTTTAATTTGTCATTCATAAAGCATTTGTATTTGAGTTTGAGTAGTTTGTGATCATTATTGCTGAAGCCCTTCCCTTTAATACAAAATATCACACATTTTTTATACAAGGTACTTAAAAAACAAACTAAAGAAAATAAAACAGAAACAAGAAGAAAAGCAAACCTTCTACAGGATAGTGTATAGAAAACTCTGCTTATAAAACTGTGATTTTTTTCATAGTATCGCCAATACAACATCTGGCAATATCACTGTGCAGTGTGGGACATATGAGCAGCTGGAATATTGGCCAAACAACTTCGATGACTTTGCTGTGAGTCTGATGGGAAAAATCCATGGCCCTCTTTCTGCTCAGCCTTTTCCCTCATTTTCTGAGGCTTAAGTGTATAGTACAGTGTAGCCACTCAGTATCTGTTTTCTTTAGGCAGCAGTGGTGACGCTCTGGGATGTGATGGTGGTGAACAACTGGCAGGTCTTCCTGGAAGCATTTTCAAGATATGCAAGTCCGTAAGTAGCAGTAATACTAAAACAATCCTGTATACCTCCAACTTGAAATAAATGAAACAATTGCATGCACACAAAAAAATCACCTGGTAAGAGGAGTACTGCTTAACTATGCCTTGCATCAACTTGGATAGCTAGGAAAAGGCTAATCCTTTATGGATATTTAGCTCATGTGACTTGCTATGCTCTGGCTCTTAAACGTTACAATGCTGATGGTCATGTTTAGAAGGTATTGGAAATGATCTGGGTAGTCATATTCTACCAGAGAAGGCTGAATTAAAATTGGTTTTAAATAGATTTGCAGCATGTATTGGGTGAGTTGAGAGCAAGGAAGAGAGATTAATGAATCATTGCAATAAGTTTTGATTTCTGTCTGTAAATAAAGAGTAGACTTAACCTTGGAGAGATCTTTCATTTATTTTATGGGAACGTTTGAACTGAATAGCCTCAGAATTTAGTTGTTTTACAGTGATACTTGGATGGTTAAGGCTTAAGGGGAGTTCTGCTCTTTGATTTCTGTGAAGTTATGATTTCACCCAGTTGGCAAGTTAGCAGTCTGAATCCAAACAAAGGAAATGTTTTTTCAGTGAGTGTGCCACTAAGTTGTGGAATACTCTTCTGCAGGCATTTGTGTGAGACAAATTTTGTGGTCCAGGGAAAGCTGAGCAAGTCATGAAGGGAACACACTGGGGTCTGCGGTGCCTGGAAAAGAGAATCTCTAGTGCAGAAAATCTTTGAACCTCAAATGATTGGTGGTTGAGAGACTAATTGGAGGGAGCCTAGTAGGTATTTTGCTATGTTGTTGCATGTTTCCCTATGCTTCTGTATTTGACTAGTTTTAGGGAAGCTTCCAGGCTAGATGGATTTTTGCTCAGATTTAGAATGACTTCTAAGTTTTTCTTCCCATTAAAACTCTGTTGAGCAGGGACAAATACTCTTCTTGGGTAATTTATTGAAAGCCTTAGGATTTTTGTTCCAGACCATCGTTTACATCAGGAAGCAGTATTAATTTCTAAGAAAAAGAAATGTGATTTCTTGGCTTTCCTCAATCATTTTCAGACTATCTTTATTTACCATTTATGTTATTTGTTGTCTTTTAATCTGATTTGCAGGTGGGCAAAGATCTATTTTATAGCTTGGTGGTTGATTTCCTCTGTCATCTGGGTCAATCTCTTTGTAGCTTTACTTCTAGAGGTAAGGAACACTTTGTCCTCTGATATTAGATCCTTGGAGACTGTTAATCCTCTCACTGACCTACTGGAAAAAAATACAGAAGCATTTTTCTAATAGATATAATAATCTGTATATTTTTTTCCTACTTGTGTGGTGGGGAGTGACAATGTCGACACTGGGATGAAGAAATGCTCTTCCTGAAGAAAACCTAATAACATAACAAAAGCATCTATCCAACTAGAAACGTTTTGGAGATGATGTGGTTAATAGCCAGGAGTGGGAGGATAAGAACAAGAATGAAGAAATGCAGTTAGTTTTCTCACTGTGAGCATCGTTGACTTGATGCCATTCTTTATGGAGCTATGATATTCATACTAGATGAGACTCTAAATGAAAGCCTTGTCTTCTCTGTGAGTGTTTGAACCTGGAGAACTGCCTTGAGAAGAGTAGATTGACTTGTATCAAGTTACCTTTTCTCTGCCTTATCTTCCCTAACAGAATTATGAGAGTTTTCACTTGTAGGCAGATGTGTATCTTCCTTGAGGCTGTCACAAATCTTGTGCTTCATTGATTGTGTACATTTAACATTATAACTCACTTATGTCTTTATAGTACCTGGAAAAAATGCGAGTGTTGTTGAATAGTTTTTGTCTTTTGAAAGTTTTAGCACTACTTATCTGAGGTTCATTTTTTTTGTGTTGTTTTGTCAGCAAATTACTATGCAGCTTTGTATTGTTACCCTCTTACAAAGTTAATCAAACTGACACTGAAACTGATAATTTATTTGGAAAAGATTGTCCTTTAACCCAATTGAGTTCTTAAAAAAGCAATGTCATGACAAACAGTTTTAATCATCTCTTGCCTCTATGTACTCTTCTGCAAGTCTAAATGTCTGTGAATTGTTGATGCTCACATTAACATGAATCTTAGCCACCTGTTGCAAGTTAAATCATTGTAGTCTTCTACGTGCAATGAAAGAGTTAGAGAACCTCTAGAGGGCACTTCACCCCATATTAAAACCTGCCGCTTGAAGTGGAAAAAGTCACTTGAAGATGTGTATGTGTTTCCTTCTCTATACAGTCAAGGAAGACTAGCTTAAAACTGTAAGCAAAATGGTGAGCTTCTAGGCATATAAAGTAGGTGAGATGAATCACTTGTTAAGCCACAATGTTACCTGTGAGCAGTTTGGGAAAGACTCTATCTGGGAGTCAATTCCAAGTCTTGCATGCTTCTGTACTGTGGAACAGGAGAGCAGGATTTCACTGTTTTCTTTCTCCCCACTGCTAGCCCCAGCTTAAGCAGTTTTACTGCCTTGATCCTTGATTCCTCAGTGTAATTCAAAACAGACAGGGGAGCATGAGAAATAGAAGCCAAATGCCTGGACTAGGTATTTGTATTGTGGATTTGGTATGCTGTGTTTTTGTTTATTTTTCCCTAAAGAAGAAAAAATCAAAGCAGGTGAACTCTTATGGATACTTCAAAAAGTTATTGTGAAGAGATAACTCTTGCTGAGAATAGTTAAAAGATTGCAGGCCTGTCAGCTGTAGTGTTCTTAGTGTGAGGTTTTTTATCATTCCTGTATAACATACAGCTAATAAATATACTTACACCTACATAAAGGATTCTTTGTAAGAGCTCATAGATACTTTTTACTGTTTCCTGGTAAATTTTAACACTTTTTCAGTTGATTTGTGCCCATGTTGTACTCATATAGACAGCCTGTTATGTATATGGCTATGACTCTACATCTATCTGTAGGCTGTATGTGAATTCTATCAATATTTAAATTTCCATGCATTTCAGTTCTCTGCTCTGTCATTCTCGGCAGCAGCCCTTTCTCAAGGTCTAAATATGTAGACCTCGTAATCTCTTTTCTCATGGCATTAGAAATAGGCCTTATTTTTTGCTTTTCTGGCATTTCAGAACTTTATTCATAAGTGGGACCGTCACTGTCATCGGGAACCTCTCTCCGATATCGAGTACCAGAGGACAGTTGAACTTATGTTCAGGTGAGTTACAGTAGGCCAAATAATTGATCTAAGTCTTTCAAATGATGTTTAACTTCCTTGAAGGATAGTGTGCTGACTGCAAGGGGTAAGAGGCTTGATTCTTACTCTGTCTGCATTTCATCTGTTAGCCTAGAAAAGCTCAGTGAGTGCTTTAGGCCTGCTCTTTGCTGACTTGGTAATCTAGCTTGTATAAGTTTGGCCTGTGTCCCTCTGAGAGAAGAGGTTTTAGAAGGAAATGATGCTGAAAAGATGACAAAAAAGTGTTCTTGGCTTATTAAGAAATTGTGGGTGGCAGGTTGATACTTGATCATTGTGCATAGCGGAACTTCTGGTGCAGATTAGGTATTCAGTAGTGGTATCAGGAACATGTTCTTATTTAAGAAGTTTTTTTGAGGAAAACAAATCCATTGACCTCCAGTTGTACTGTACTCTGTGCAGGAAATTATTTTTCTGCTCCTTGTGGGAAAACAGCTGCTGATTTCCTCGGCACAGCTGTGATAGAATGGATCACTTGCAAGTGGATGCATCTTTAGGGAGCATCAGCCTGTTGTGATTTTAATTCCTTGTTTCAGTCTTGGGAAGGGTGTGTGTTACATATCAGAATGTGTTGCACAAAAATGGCTGAGAAGTCCCTTATGCTGTCCCTAACAACTCATGGTTTTTCTTTGTAGAGATGTTTTAGAAGAACCTACAGAGGAAGAGCTAATGGAAAGACTGCACCAGCATCCGCACCTGCATTTATGTAGGTGACTGGTGGGATGGACTGATGTACTTAGACCTCTGTTTTGTTGAGGCTGTCAGCTGGAAGAGACTGAATGGATTTTCTGTGAGATGCTGTAATAGGAGTTTACAGGACAGCATTTAAAATATTGGTTGGCAATTCTCTGCAGGAGGATTTTTTTATTATTGGCTCCTATGTTTTTTCTGGAAAAAAATATTTGAATCCTGCTTTATTTGACTTGATTTTAAGTTGCAATTTTTACAGCAATATTGCAGCTGTTATTTTTATAAAGCATAGTTACCAGAATATTTTTATTTTTGTTTTTAAGAAGGGAAAGTGTTGAAATGAAAGTGCACTTTAAAACATGAACTTTGTAACCACTAAGACCGCTACTTTTTGCGGCACAAAAATGAAACTGCCCGTTGTGGTAGGGGAGTGTGCCTTGCAATTCACGGATGGATTAGGCAGGATGAGAACAAGATCCTTAACCCTTTTTGTAACAATGAAAGTGGGCACACTATTTTTATGATAACGTGACAGCAGCATGTTTTACTTGGCAAGTTTTCGGTTGTTAATCACTTTGAGACAATTATGTTCAACTACTTATTTAGCTTAACCAGAACCGCCTACCTGGTGCCTTCTTTGTTCTGATCTAGGGTTCATGCTGTTGGTACCACACTGACAACTCTGAAAACAGATATAACTTTGAACAGCACAATTGTACTTGTAGCTTTCAACGTGGTAAAATTGAACTCTAATTCAATACAGTTACTTTCATGTTGCTTTTGACTGAACTCTTCCTTTCTTCCAAGTCTTGCTCTTCACTGTATTGCATTCCATGGTAAAAGCTGAAGGGAAGGAATTTGGGCCAGTACAAGCATTATGATCACTGCGAGTCTTCCACTTAAAATTAGGGATAAAGGTTGAATGGGATAATTGGGTGCCAACAGCACAAACTTTCTTTTGAGTCTGTTGGAACTTGGAAGTGCTTAACCAGTATTGCCAGTTCATGTTTTTTTTAAGGCTTTGTGGTCATACGCTGCATACCACTAGGCTTGGTGACCTGAGTAATACTTGTTGGGTGATAATTTTGACAACAAATATAGTAGAGGTGAGAATTAGTAATAAATGGCATACTTTTCATTTATCTCTTAGCATTCCAAGTTTTTCTATTTGGATCTTAGTCACATAACTAGAAACTCACTAGGAAGAATAGAATTAGTCCCAACAACTTCTATACGTTAAAAAAAAAAACTTGTTCTCTTACTATTACTTGAAGCACTGACAACTAAAATAGACTTTAGATGGACCACAGGTGCATCTGGGCAAAGGGCTTGCTGTGTGTGGGAATGGACTTAAATTGCTTCTATTTGCAAGCTGCTCAATCCATTTAGTTAACAGTATTTTTGGGAAGTCTGAAAGGGAGACATCCTAGCTGCTTTTCCAGTTTATCTTCTTCCTCTTTTTTCCCTGTATCAGTGTTTTTTCCTGCACATCCTGGGGCGATGACTCATATGAGCTTAGCAGTGTGTTCTTATATTATTGTCCTGTTTAAAAAGTATGTGGCAATTCTTGTCTGTCTTTACTTGCTGCATATTTTCCTTGTGTGTGCAAGTGATGGAGAAGGTGTGTAACAAGTATGAACTGAGCTTTGTCACTCAAGTTTGCTTTTTGTGCCTGCACTTCTAAAGCCATGTTGTTTGTGTTACTAGTTACTCACTTGGACTAGGTTCAGTGACGTTACTATTTTGGGGGAATCCTGCACTTAGAACACCCGTAGTAAGTAGATAATGGCATCAGCACAGTGTTTGCCTACATTTGGGGTTGTTTCTTTCAGTATAGTGTTATGTCAGGGCAGTTTCTGCTCCTAGCATGTCCTAACTGATAGTACTAGTTTATTGGCACTTAATATGGGAGATTAAATGGTCCTTGACATTCTTACTCAGAATTTCTCACTTGCTTTGTTTTCTGCCTTTCTAAATTCTTGGAAAAGTAGCTGTATTTGCCTTGCTAAACAGGAAGTAGTCAGTTCCTCTCTGCCTGTTTCACCTCTTTTTGTTAACCTTCTCTTGGTCATTCCATACTAGTACAATCTACCAAAGCAACATGAAATGATGTGGCATTACCATACCTCAAATCTATGCAGTCTTTGCATCTGGACAAATATGAAGGGAATACTTTTACTCATCTTGTATATGGTTCACATTTGTGTAATAGACTGAGAATGTAACTTGAAGATGGTACAAAAATGCAATAGCTGATGTCTACAGTAAGATGTAAATGAATACATGATACAAGTCTTATGCAATAATTGTTTAAATCATGAAATGAATGTATGTAACGGGAAAATTTGAGGTTTATATGATTAAAAAGTTTCTTAAAATATGGAAATCATTGAACTGTTGAAATGATTCTTATGGCTTATTTTTTCACTCAAGTACTGATTTCTGTTATGCTTGGTATCCATGCTCCCTTTATCTTCAGTAGTTCACATGCAGCTGTTCACATGCATAAGAGCCTCGTTTCAAAATGCACGTGTTAAGAAATGCAGCTCAGCTCTTGTCCATTTGTAGAGGCACTTGGAATTGTCTGCAGATACTAGATGTATTTAATCATTAAGGAACATTAATGAACAACGTTAAGGAACAACAGAGGAAAATACCCTCTTGGGTGTTAAGGGATTATGTGAGTCAAGTACTTGAAACATCTTTTCTTGGCATCTCTGTAGTCTGACTTGACTTAATCTGCAGTCTTAACCTACGTTGCATTGTTTGTGACCTCTGTATAGAAATAACTGGGGGCAGGAAGGATGGGACTTGGTTTATACTTTCTTTAGGGTGTTCATTTTATAGAATGAAGTTCAATGTAGGCTATTGAACTTCAGAAGTCAAATATGGAAGTGCAGAATGGGGATTAAGTGATAATAGAAATAAAGTGTTTATATGATTCTAGAATCTGAATGATCTAATGGCATCTGAAAGATCAAAAGAAAAAATCTCTTCAAAGAAAATTATTTTGCTATGAAACCGAATATGAATTTTGCTCTTTTGCAGGCAACAGTCTGCTTAAGTTCTGTAAACTAAATGTGTGGTAATTGTAGGACAAGTTGCAACTAGCTGAGCTTTAGGCAGAAAGATTTGTTAGATGTGAAGAACTCTGCTTGTCTCTGAGTGCTGGAATCCGGGAGGGGGGCTGCAGAGCTGCCTTCCCTGGAGCTGTTAAGATGAATTTGACAGTCACCTGCTGGAGCTTTGTGTGGCTGTTTGTGAACCTGCCTTGGTAGGGGAATGCTCAGCTGGGCCCTCAGATCCTGTCCCGCCTACCTTTTAATGACTTCATTGGAACGAATTCCTGTAACAAATCCAGCTTTTGTTGTTAGATGGTGTGCTGTTGGTCCTTCCTAATAGCTTACAAATGCTTACTGTGTGCATGTGTTTTACAAGTTGGGATTACAAAAAAAAACTCCTTCAATCTCCTGTAGGCAAGTAGCAAAATGAACCTTAGTTATATGTGCTATATTACTAATACCCAGCCAGCATTCTGGGGTCCCAGGGCTGTTCTCCATAGTGTTTGCAGTTCTCACTGCTGGATTCCTTTTAACTCTATTTCTTGCACCTCTGCTTTCTGCAAAGGGTAGAATGTGCTGCCCTTCCAATTTAGGCATTTGTCCATTGACTATGCAGTGAGCCAAGCAAATCAGATCATGGTTGGTCTTTCCTTGAGGAGAGCATTTATTGGAGCTCTAATTTACCTTGTAAATCAGATTTACTCATCCATCACAAATGTACCAGAGTCACAGATCTCTGATTTTAGCTTTTTTGTCTGACTTGTTTGTAGCTTGGCCAATGAATTTTAAAAGTTACTACAAAGACTGATGCTCCATGTAATTCTTAGGGTGAAGCAACTAGAAAATCTTATAAAAGGTGATGCTACATTATTAGGTACTATGCTGATTAAATTTGCTGATTGAATGTTTCAGTGGATCCAGACAGGCTTAAGACCCAACACCTTTGAACTGAGCACTTGGGTCCTGTTGGGGAAGAAAAGACGATGATCTAGAGACTGAAGTGTCTTCATCTTCATTAGTCTATTTGTGGAAGTATGGGCTAATCTTCAAGATTGTGAATTAGACTTCCTTGCACCCTCCAGGGGTACCACTGCTGTTTAAGATGGAATAGATAATCCATTATCTAAATGCTTGAGCAAAGATAAGTAGAAATCTGTGCCTGGTCCAAAAATAGACAACAGATCCTCAGACTGTTAGTTAACTCCTGTATCTTTATGCACTAGACTCATACTCTTTATTTCTAGAGCTTTCCTAATGTAAAATAAGAAAAGGTTCACGGAGAAGCCTTAAGGCTCAAGTGATCTTCTTTGAATACTAAGTACACAGTGTTGTGCAGCGAACTGCTGAAATGACCACTTGTAACTTCTTCCCGTAAAGGACATGGGAAGAACGTCAAGACTGTAAGGTGCAATCACAAAGCATCGTAAGTGTATGGAGGGTTTAAAAATGTCTTAGTGGACTGATAAATGTTTTTAACTCTGGAAGAAAAGTTGTGTGTGGTTACCTGCAACATATATAGGTTTGTTTAACAAATAGAGCAAACTGCTGTTTCATCATTTACCTATGTAACTAAAAGGGAAGACTGAAAAGTCTGTTCTGACTTACTCCGACCATTTATGCAGTTCTTCTGTATTGATTTTCATGTCCAGTTCTATACTTGAAAGTCTTCACAGTCATCATGTCAGAATGTTTGCTGGTGTCCATCTTGTTCATTCAGACACTTAATGAGACTTATTACAACTTGCTGCTTTCTTTAATGCTAGATGTTCCTTATAACAGCCTCAGTCATCTTTCTTTTTATTAAACTGCTGGAGCAGGTGTTGTCTTTGTTCTGTGTGGATACTTCTTCCATGCTCCCCATCATTGCACTGTTTGAGTGCCTCCCAAGTTCTTTCCTGAAAACATCCTGCTGGGATGGGAAAGTGTTGCTATCCTTATTTTACAGATGATCAGCTGAGCTATTTGGTGATCTGCCTACAGCCAAGCTTGAAATCTGTGGGAGAGTTAAGAATTAAAGCCAGAGTCCCTGCTCACTGCCTGAACTGGAAGACAATACTGCCTTATTTCTTTGCAACAGCTGTGAACTTAAGGTGAATGTTTATGAGACATTGACATTTCCATGTTAATTGTTTTATAAACTTAGTATTGTCTGTACTTGTGTTTAATATGACTACTTTTCTTTTTCAAATGACAAAAAAAAATGGAACCTTCTGACTTCTAGATTTTTCTTATTCCCCATTCTTATAGAAAAGAAGGACTGTTACAGATTTGCCATCTGATTTAAAAAGATTTAATAGAGTTGATCTGGGCCTGGCGTATGTGCCGGAAGTTTGGTAAATGTAAGTAAACTGCAGAGTTCTGATAAATAACATATAACATGCTGATGTATTTGATAATTAAAAAAAAAAAACCCGAACACCAGTTGTTACTTGGCAGCTCCTATTTTCACTGCCGTCAGACCTGCAGCTAGCTTCGTGTATGCGTAAGCTTTTATTCAGGCTCCTCTGCCTTGGTATTGCCTTACTCTCCTCTCGGGGTGGGTGGGACAAAAGTGAAGGATTTGAGTCCTCTGGTGTTGTGCTTGCAACAGTGTGTTGAATTTAGAAAGCTGTATCCTAAATGGCTGCTTGTCTAGCCCCATTTAAAAAAAGTTCATTGTCATGTGAGAGAATGAAAGATGCTGTTGAAATAGAAAGTGGAGTACATCTTTAACACGGAGTTCAATACTGTAGTAGGAGTGCCTGTGTCTTTGTAAAGTAAAATGTAGTCTCTGATATGACTACAGGTTGCTGGGCTGAATACAGTCAAATTGCAAGGATTGCTGCACGGACTGTCACATAAGTGTAAAAATCCCTTCTAGTCCTAAAACTTAAACTATCATTTCTGATTCTGTTTAAAATCAAGTTGGTTTCTGTTAGCCTTCAGAAAAAAACTTTTTTGCATATGGTGGGAAATGGCAACACTCTCGCGTTGGACCTGGCCTGAGTGTGGCAGTCATTTCGTGCAATCAGCATCCAACAGAGCTGAGCCAGAAAGGCAGTCTAGGCTGTATTATTTTGTTATGCTAGGCTTCCTTTTTCATTTTGAACTGACTTAGTTCCAAATGTAATGTGCAGAGCTGTTGCCAGTCTCTTTTTTATTATTTTTTTGTTCAGTAATGATCTTGGGCAGTAAAGGTCTTGAATGTGGCTTCCCTTCCCTATCTGATACCAGTGAGAGTAATCTTATGTTTCACCAAAACTACAAGTGTTTAGTTTCCAGCATTCTAGATAATTAGAGGTTGCTCTGAAAAGGCCTGAACAATTGCTTGCTATGGAAAAAAAAATTGTAAAAGAGCTGCTCTGTAAAATTAAAGGTGAAGGTGTTAAACCTAGACAATAAAACTTGGATCAAAGTTGCCAACGGAAGGGGTCATATAAGAAAAGCAGATTGTCCTTTAAACTTTACCATGTTGTGCAAGGTACTTTTCTCCCTATAATCAGATTTCATGAAAAAGCAAAGCTATTCTTTCTTGATGTAATTCAATCAGAGCCCAAAGCTAGATCAGCAGGAAAAGCACCTGCTGTTCTTGCTTTAGGTTTGGATGACGGACAGTTTTCTGATAGCAGTTGGTTAATCCATAACCTAAGCATGTGGCCACAGCAACACCTGCCATGCAGGTGAGTTTTTAGCCTTGTTAATGTTAAAAATATATATATATGTATATATGTATTCATCTTATATACCTACATACCTAATAGTGATCATTATAATTAGGAGAATTTAATAAAATTATATCCTAAGTGTAGAACTTATTTTGCTCTGTAATCAAATACCCATATGTAATCGAGGTTTGAAGTTGACTTGCTTGTTTGGGCCTGCTTAGGGTTAATTACATCGACTAATAGAGCATATTTGAAGTCTCTGTGCTTTCCCTTTTGTCTGTTTTCTCAACTCTGTTTTGAGTTGATGCTTGCTGTAATATCATTGACTGTCAAACCCAGTGCTTTTAAATTAGTCATGCAATTGAAACATCTGTGTGGTTGAGACTGGCCATAGTGACTGTTGAACTTTTTGTCCCTGACACTTTCCAAAATCCTTGCAGCTCTGGGCTCCTGAGTAATCCTGATAGAGTCCTGTGGAGATCTGCAAAGCAGGGTCCTGACCTTCTGGTGCATGGAGGAGCCTCGCCTTGCTGGGCTCATATTTAGGATGCAGTTTTAAGTTGAGTTGTAGTGTTAACTCCGGTGGAGTTAAGGAGGAAGAGGAGGAAGGAAGTGAGAAAATAGAATAATAAACCAGGGAGGCAAAAAGATATAAAATGAGTTTGCAAAGATGATCTTTGCTTGGCCAAACAAAACAAAAAAACCCGAAACAAAAAAAGAGCATTTTATTCTCTGTAGGTATTGCATGGTGTTTCTTCTTGAGCTGTGGATTTTACCAGCAGAGGGAGTTCAAGACCCCATTTTAGTCTCAGTATGTGCTGTTTTGGTTGTATGATCAGAGCTTCTGGACATATTTAATGGAACTTTCTCAGCCTAGACACTGGGGGGCTTAGTGGAAGGGTTGGGTTACAGTTAAATTTAATTTGGCTAAATCTGAGAATGTGTTTTGAGGCAATGAATTATCAGTATTAAGCATCTGTTTGTACTGATGGTCTGCAGCTTAAACACTTCTGTATTGTGCTTGGAGCATGAAAATCATAAGCTCCTTACACACCAAGCAGTCCGGTTTCATTGTCGCATGTGAATGAAGTGGTAAGGGAACTAGTGCAGACTGCAGCTAAGTCTCTAAGCATTCTCTTTGCTTTGGGAATCTCAGAAAGCAACACTGAACATCAATGCCTGAAAATATCAGCCCCTGAACTTTAAGTCATCGGTTTTTCTTGTGCTCTTTAGAGAAAGAAATTTATTTTTTAAATGCCCATTTTAGCATTATGCCACCTCTATGTTCTGGTGACATGGGCATGGGTGACATACTATATATTTTGTGCCAGAATAAGAAGACTACTAATGAAATACTTGAAAAGAAACACTGCTGGGCTTCCTTTAACCTTCTTTAACATTTTTTTGTCAGTAAACTCTAAGTTGAGTGTTCATCCACTGATCTGTCAGGTCTTAGAGTGTCTTCAGCTGATCACTGAAAATGTCAACTGTTATTTTCAGCAATTCTGTTTAAACTGCTCTTGTAAAATTAAATTGTACTAATTTGAGCAGATATGCCAGTTGCTACACTAGCAGTATGGACAAATTATTCAGAATTGAGTGACTTTGAGTGTCTAAATACACAAACTTTTTTCTAGCTCCTGGAATTTCTTTCAATCAACATTTTGCAAATTTATTGTGAGGAAAGCTAGCATGTTAAAAATTTTGAAGACTTCTCAGTTATAGGGATGAATCTCAAGATGCAAGTGACATTCTTTTCCTTTTTTTGCTTAAACTTAATAGGATACCACTTGTACTTATATACCATTGCAAACTTAATTTAGATGCAATAGTGAAGACTAAAATGAGTTGTGCTTTGTAAAGAAATCAAAGGAACTGAACGGTACTTGAGAGAAAACAGGGAATCGGTATATCTGGCATTGACATAATACTGCAAAATCAATGCTTTGATCAACTATAAAGCATAACAGCTGCATGAAAGGTTTGCTGTGGTTAGCTGGCATTATCTCTTGTGTAAAGGAAAGTACATTGTAAACCAGTAAAAATTAACTGCCAGAGCACAAAGCTGTTCTGTGACTGGGAATTAGATAAAGTTTTGCTTCTGTTGGCAGACTGATAAAAAGAAGTGGGGCCATTTGCATACAGGTGAAGAGAGGCGGTGATCTCCCGTGTTGGTGGAGGGCAAGTCACCACAGGTATGCAGAGTGCTTCTGCAGAGTGCTGCCTTAACCTTTCTTTTAACCTTCGCTGGTTGGGAAGTGAGAAAAGGCTTAGAAAAGGAGCAGTACTAAGAAAAGTCATGGGGTGGCAGCAGAGCATTTACCACGTAAGAGGCCAACTAACGAACTGAGAAACTCTCAAAAGGTTGAAGTTCTGCATAGTTTTGATGTAGATAACTGAAGACAAGTCTTGTGCTGTAGAACAAGATCTTAAAATGGTATGTGTGGTGAGAAAGGTCTCTGTGGTTAAGGCAATAAATGTACTTTGAAAAGCGTGAGTATGTGTTAGCATATACATATATACGTGTGTGTATATGTATATATGTGTGTGTCTGTATGTCCCTGTGTGGCCTCTGCAGGTTTTAGCTCTATGACAGGGTAGCAAGCAGTAATAATATGATAACTCCAGCTCTGGAATCAGGATATTCATATCCCTGACATTTCAAGCTTTGTTCTTGGATATGTAGCTGGGTTGTGTGAGTAAAAGATAGGGATGGTTCTAAGCTGTCTCTGCTGGAGAGAGCCAAATGGTGGGTCTATGAATGTGGTCAGCTTCAGCCACCTTCACTTCCTCAAAGCTACTATGTCCTTATTGGAGTAAAACTGGCAAAGATTGTCTCTCTTTAACAAAAACATGAGAAACAAGATAGTGCCTTTTCTCCTTATAGGAAAAATGAGTTAACGTCCGTTCTTTATAATTTGAATATTGTGTTTCTGTTTCTGCTGCAGGTTATGGACAGTGCTTAAGAATTTAAATTATATTCTTTCTTTTCTGAATTAAGAGCTTTATATCTAAATTCCTTGCATCTTTTCATTTTAGTGAAGGGACTCCAGTTTTGCTTTATTAACATTTTTCTACTTGCACCCAAGAGCTGGTGCTGTGTATCTCATGATGTATTTTGTGCAAAGCAGTGGGGTATGTCCTTAAAGGTATATAGAGTTATAGCATGTGGCTTTTTTCCTTTTCATACATGCCATAAAGTTATAACTTTGCTAGCTTTTGCTAAGCTCTTCATGAATTGCTGCTGTTCTTGAAGAAGAAAAAATCCTTTCCAACTGCCTTTCCTCACCAATTTTTGCCTTCGGGAGGCATAAATGTATTATCATTCTACTACTGTAGAATAGCAGTAGTATAGCAGTACCATTCCAGGTGTGGAAATGAATGACTGAAAGGAATTAACTTCTTTTGTTGCTTTCCGTGGATGTAAGAAAGTTAAAAACGGATGA